CGGAGGGGGGCAAGCGGGGAAAGGGGTGACATCCGTAATACTCTCAACAGTAAAGATTAAATAAAAAGCAAGCAAGCAAAGGACGTGATCTGGGTGAACTGAAGCAGACAGGACGCTAAGGGACACCTATGCTTCTGACCGACGGCAGGTGTCCCGGCCATTCTGAAGCCGCGAGGAGGGTACACGGGCGCCGAGGGGACAGAAGGGGTGCTCTGGGCCGAATACAACGGGGTCACAGGCTCAGCGTGTAGCAGCGCAGGACGTGGCTGCCGTACCCACCTGCGCAGGGTAGAAAACAAATGCAGGGGGGACTTCACCTTCTTCTCGGACAGCTTCTTGGTGTGCAGGCAGCTCGACTTCTCTTTGCTCTGTTTCCACTGCTGGGTGACGAACGTCTGCATGATCCTGTGGGCCCAGAGCGAGCCTGTTAGCACCGAGCCCGGTCACGCGCGGCGAGGTTCCCGTCTTTACCACGCGGAGGACGCGTGCGTCGGAGGAAAGCACGCGCGCAGCGGCCAGGGAGACGCTACATTTCAGAGCCATACAAGATGTCTTTGCACGTAAAGAGAGTCATGCGGAAAAGGCTTATGACTTTATGCATTGTTTTTATTAAGTTACTGTGATATAACTAAACTATAAACGACAGGAGAACTGATGAGAGAAGAGAGGCTTATCACGATCACAAAGGACGGCCCTTGGATCGACGATGTTTGCTGAAGGGGGAAAACATAAATTTTAAAAACCTGAATTATTCTGTTGGTGCCAGGAATATAGTTTGAAAATTTTGTTAATAATTGCAATTTTACTTATTAACACACAAGCAACGTCAGTTTCTTTTTACTTACTTTGCTTATGTGGTTTTCTTCATGAGAAGTAAAACAAAACAAAACTGTCTGCTCCTAAGTAAAACGAAGCCGGTTGAAACGGGCTCCATGGAGGAATCTGATTCTAGCAAATTTTACCTTCAGCACAGCTCATTTCTCCTTTAAATACAATGGGTTTTTGTTTTAAAAAACTTAGTTACTATAAGGCGGGGATGTGGTAACCGCTGAGCTCCACGGGCCCTAGGTCACGACGCCCTGCGCTGTTCCGCGGTAACGAATCCCGCAGGGCAGCCGTGCGCGTGGACCAGCCCTGCTCCCGAGGGGCCTGAGCGGCAGACGCTTCTCTGGGCCCCACCCTCCAGGTGGCAACGGCCCCTTCAGGTCTGATACTTACGCAGACAGGAGCTTTCACAGTTAAACGCTATGGGTGCAACGAATGAAACACTCCGGCTGCCTCTCGAGTCCGTTTGGCACTGCGCGCGTTTTCACACAGATCGCTTTTGGAACGGAAAAATGGGGCCACTACTTGTTTACAATCTGCCATACACCAGGAGAGGACCGTGTGAGCCTTTTCTCTTGGATTCTCGGGACACCCGCAGACAGCGGCTACACTGCACGTTCACAAGCACGGCGAGGAAACGCCTGCCTGCGTCAGCCGGCAAGGCGGCCGGCCTGTGTTATCAGATGCGACCTGACGCGGGTGAACACGAACACGTGCTGTTCAAAGAGGCGGTGTGGCTCTTGGCGCTAAGCCAACAGGAATTTCTCAGTGTCCCTCAGGTCCTACCGACCAACTCAGATCACCAGACAGGGCGGCCCCCAGGCCCGCGGCCCCAGACTTTGTCCGCCAGCGTGGCTGCCAAGCATGGACTCATTCTGGGTCTTTTTAGCTCTGGAGGTAGGAAGGCGTGAACCTGTGCTCAGTGGTGCATAATTCCAATTCGCAGTAAACTCACCTCAGGGCCCAGGACAAGAGGAGGTTTTCATTTGACACTTAAATTTTGAAGATTTTTTTCATCCAAGACTTAAATGTAACAGTAATATTAGAGTCATCATTTTCCCGTCTCCATCTGGAACCCCCAGTGACACCACCCTCTGTCCCAAGCAGATCTGGGTTAGCTGCCTCGTATGAATCGTCCCCCGATTAAATTTCCTCAAGACAAAGGTGAGCGTGCAGACGGCATCCTTGTGGAGGGAGGGCCCGCACCGTGCATTTACACTGAAGTGAAATCTGCATAGTCAGAATACATAATCCTTGGAAGGCTCTCGAAGTGCAAATTCTTAAAGCTGGTATTTTAGTAAGTATGGAATCTACTAAGTTCCTGCTTTGACTGTGACTAATGGAATATAACCCTGGACTTCAAGTCAGCTCGAGTTGGGGAATTTTCTGTTTGCAAGAGATCAACTGGATGAGTCGAAGTCCCAACTGAAAGCACAGGGTTTCTTTTCAGAGGGAGCGTTTCAAAGGGGTAGGTGTGGGAGCAGCGGACAGGGTGGGGGTCGAGGGCCCGTCTCCGCAGAACTGTCACCACCTCTGAGCACCAGAACAAGCAGAGGAAACCTCCAGGACCCACGAGGGAGACAGTCTGGCGAAGGCTGCAGCCAGGAGCTGACAGCAGAGCTTCAGGGGCTGATGGGTCAGCTCATGGTGACCTCACCGGGCAGAACCAGACAGGAAACACGCCCACGTGCTCGGCTTCCTCCGGTTGGTCCCCGGGAGAGACTCGGGGACCTGGGTGCACCCAGCACAGCCCCCCAGGTGCAGCGCCAGGGGCTGGAGGCAGAAGTGAACCTGGGGGAGCACAGGAGGCGCCGGCCCAGTCCCGACGTCAAGCTCGGCCGGCTAACTTCCCGGCGCAGCTCTGGGCGTCGCAGTGGCCTCCTCCCCCGGGGGGGCCCCCTCGGGAGCCCGCACTGAGTAAAAGTGGGGGGAATGATCAGCACGGCGAGAACTCAGCTCTCCTGAACGGAAGTTGAGTTTTCGTTTTGGGGAAAACTTACTTTTTCAGCTGATGCCCCAACCCAAACCGCTCCTTGGTGGAAATCTGGAAGACGTCGACGGTGGGCACTGCGAGAGAGGAGAGGAGAGGAGTGTGGCGATGTGGGGGGGGGGCTCACATATTTACACACCATACGTAACGTACACAGTCGGAAACAGCGGGCACCGCGCGATGGTCGCTCCCATGCTTTCGGCAGGGAGCCGAAGGCCATTCCTGATTGTTATGTTAGACTGAGGTGTGGTCCGTGTTTATAAACGTATAGTGGTGAATGGTCTTCAAAAATATGTATTAATTGTGAACAGTGACGTGTAGGACAGTAGAAAAGAGGAGGTTTGTATATACATACACCATTTTTTTAATCCTGACCCAATAATATGTTTTTATTAATTTTGAGAGAGAGAGAGAGAGAGAGAGAGAAAAACACCGATAAGAGAGAGAAACAGACTGGTTGCCTCCCATACTCGCCCCGAGTGGGAACCGAACCCACGCCCTCTGGGGTGTATGGGGTNTAGAGAGAGAGAGGAGAGAGAAACATCAATGAGAGAAACAGACTGGTTGCCTCCTGTACTCGCCCCGAGTGGGAACCGAACCCACGCCCTCTGGGGTGTATGGGGTGAGGGTCCAACCGAGGCCCCTGGCCAGGGTCAGACATGCTCCTTTTCCTGGAGTAAAATAATGCAGCATGAGCGTGAGGCACAGGCGGCCTCCTGTTCACCGCAGGCATGTCAGGGGCCTCGTATTTTTACCCGACACACGCGTTTCTGTAAGTTAGTGACTACGTTTGAGATTAATAATAACCTCTCAAAGGAGTCACTCAGCACTCATCATTCAACGGTGTTAAAGAGTATTTGACAGAATATACTCGTAAAATATTTTCATGTTTTAAAAAAGGTGAAAGTCATTCAATTTTCCCTTGTCTCATGCCATTTAGGTTGGAAAGGGCTGCTTAAGATGCGTGGGAATCACTCTAATACTCGGGGTGTGTAAACACAGAGGGACCAAACATAGGATGATCTGCGCAGGAAAACGTTTGCATGCTGTTCACCACGTTCAAGTAAAAGCACCCCTGCCTTCGAAATCAGAAACTAGATTTATATTCCAGCAATTCTGGAAAAAATATGTAATATCCCAAGACTCATAATAATTGCGACTTTTCACTTCAGGTGTATTTCCCCCCCATGGGCGATGAAAATAATCCTTGTCTCTGCCTTCAGGGTGGGTAAGGAGACGTATTTCTAAGTCCTGTCGTCCCAGCTCACTCGCAGACACAGCGTCAGATCGGCTCCAGCCAAATACAGTCCACACGAGAATTATTCACACATCCGGAAGCCTGGGAACGGACGCCTTTCAAGGAGAGCCCTAAACTGGGTCAGTCTCAGCCTGGGATCGGCCGCACCCTTTAATATAAATGCTGACACCCTCAAGGCCACATACAAGACAGTCACGAGATCCTTTCTCCCCTCCTACTTGTTTGCAATAATCCAAATCATAAAGAGAAATGAAACCGGACTGTTTTCTCGGGAATGATAAGGTACATGTTCCTTTTTAGTATCACTGTCTCTTGCTGTCAGGTATTTCACATTAGCGCCCATTTTAACCATATTTTCCCCTCAAATTTCCGCTAAGCAGTAATAAGCTCTGGGGAAACTCGCTAGTCCGACAGCAAGGTCCTGAGCGAGCCTCAGGCTCACCGGCCGTATAGAGACAGGACCCAGCAAAAGGCACTGGAGCTTGAAACGCCACCACCCCCGTGGGGGACACTTCCAGAGGATTCTGCCACTAACAGAGCAAATGGAGCCATCCGAAGGGGCCCTACAGGGCCGACCCCAAACCCCCCATTCTCTGAAAGAGGGAGAGCTAAGGCGGGCCACCACTAACATCTGCAAACAGGGGGCAGATGAGGGTGGAGCCATGTGCCCCGGGGCAGTTCTCTGAAGGGCTGGGCTGGCAGGTGCCCTCCAGGGGCCCGTGCTGACCTGTTCTTGACCCCTGACCCACCATCTAAGGCCAGGTTGGAGCCTGCGTGAAGATCTGGGGGCAGAGAATTTACTATGGAATCGCTCCACTCCCAGGACAGTAACTGATATCAGACGGGGGGGGAGACAGGAAAAGGGTCAGGTCCAGCTTCAGCCTGGCCCCGTGGGCAACACTGCGGCATAAGTCACACCACGGTTTGTCCCGCCTACGGCAACGTCGCCGGCCAGGGCACTCCCACGTCTGTCACACCAAAGAATGGCGAGGGGTGAGCCGTTTTAAGCCGCTCCGTTTTGGAGTGGGTGCGCGTGTGCACCCTAGTTAGCAGGCAGGAAAAAAGGAATTTAAGCCAGTAAGTCTGGGAAAGATGTAATAGGATCCTGTGTCCTCAATAGCTATCAGTTGAGATACAGTAATACCATCCCTTAAGGTACTGGAAAACAAAAATACTATAATCTCCATTTTCAAAACCAGAAATAAGTTACACCTACACTAAATTCACCAGCAATCAAAGGTGGGAAGATATGCCTTAAAATTAGACCTCAGAATCAGAGGCTTAATTAAATCTAAGGGCTGCCCAGCATATTCTCACTGGGCTTCTACTTATGCAAAGTTTTCTTTTAGGTTTTAATGTGCTTATTTCACAGCAACCTGTCAACCTCTAAAATCTATACAACTAAATGTTATATGTTTCTCTTTCCATTGGTTATAGTGACAATAAATCTTTGTTATTTAGGACACAAGTGTATTTAAACATCATTATCAAGATAGCTACAATTACACTCAGAATTACCAATGCATGGTCATTTTGCTTAATGCACAACTAGCTAATAATACTAAAAAGGATAGAGAAATAAAACCAACCTGGGCCATTTAAATACTGCGTAAGTGAGCAGTGTAGTCGGACAATTATGGGCTCTGTTCGAATCACTTCCCAAGCCACCGCAATCTCCTCCTGTGCCAATAAATACATTTTATAGACAAATCAGTCATCTTTTAGAGTTACTGATGCATTTTCCCAATTAAAAAATACTTTCTAACTTATTTTGAAGAAATGCATAAATCATCAAGGCCTACAAATGATCGCAAAACCTACTGGTTTGTGAAAAGAAAACCAAAGTACTTTCAACTTTTGCCTTCTCATGTGAAAATAAAAATGAAAATGTACGAAATACTGAAGTACTATACTAAGAGCCTGTACATTTCAGAGTATATTTAAGAACTGACACAAATACATATGTACATAAAATCTGTTTCTTCAACCAAAGCATTTCTTCATAAATCACCCTGGAAAAGTCAATACGATACTAATAGCATTATAAGAGAAACAAAAATTAGACTTCCTCCTATAAAAGTAAGCGTTTTTTAAATGCAGCCGTGACGCTGCGTCACTTGGTACTTACATCAAGAAAGCTGACATCGACGTGCAGATCAATATCTACGTCATCAATGGCTCCATACTCCCTGCAAGCGAAGATCAGCGTCAATATTTTTGATTTCCTTAAAAGACGGTGTTGTCCTAGGCTATTTTAAATTAAAAACCTAATCATGAATTCTCATCCCTGACTTCCAGATGGCTCAGAAATGACTGGGGGCCTGAATCAACTAACTCCACCCGTTGGACTGCTGTCTCCCGTGACCTATTGGTACCACGTCGTCATCTTTCCATCTTTACCACGTGCATATGCACCGGTTCAACAGTTGTTCGGTCCATCGTTTTGAGCGTCCCTGGTTCTCTGGGGCCAATTAAACAATCTTCTCATGCGATTTCCCTGTTCTGTGCTCCGTAAGGACACAGAGCTGCTTCTGGGGGCAAAAAGGGGTTTCTGACACAAAGAAGGGGAGGGAAAGAGTTTCCTGCCACAACCACATGCCCACGAATTTTCCTTCCATGTTAGACATCAGCGGTTCTGAAACGGGTCCAGGTGTCTGCCTCATAGATCTCACTGTTTTCACAGGCAGCTCTAAAAGCCTGACATATCAGAGTTGAAATAAGTAACCGTTATGTTCCATGTGAAAATATTCTGAAGACCAACTTTTCTCCAGCCCGGGGAGTGCCACAAACCAGCATATTTGTTTCAAAGTTAACAAGAGAGTACAAAAAAAAACGGTTTTTATATTCTCCATATACGCACATCTCTATATGTGATATTTTTATAAAATTCTGGTTACAAATGCTAGACCTAGTGAGGGAGACAACTATAAACACAGCAATAATGATGGAAGTCAATGGTCAATATTTACTGAGGACTTTGTGCAAGAAGCTGGTCTCAACACTTTACACACATGTGCTCATATGCACTAATTCACACATGCACTAACCGAGGCCCCAGGTGGTAAAGTCAGTCAGTCACCATCACTCTGAACAGAGCTGGGATTTGAATGCATTTGTCCTATTTATTTACGCAGGTGCTTAATCAGTTCAATGTGCAATAAGCTACACTCTGTGTTGGAAACCAGGTCGGACATTAACGAATGGTCTCATTAGGGTCTCATCATAGCCTTCCGGGGACAAGAAATCCATTGCTATCCTCATTTGCAAATGCGAAAACTGAGGCTTAGGAAAGTACAGTTTGCCAAAGGGCAGATAAGAAGTCAGAGGGAAAGACAGGTGCTTAGTTCATGCCCAATTTCAACACTGTCAAGCACAGTATCTGGCACATAGTACGTACTCAATGAAAACGTTTGTATATCACACATATATTCAGGAAATGCTAATATAGTACAAAATTGTGCCACTTTTATGGGATTCAGAGACTTTTTAATGATTATATGGTTTATGTAATTCAATGCATAAAAGAATCCAGGTAGTCTTTTTACTTTTTAAAAAAATTATATACCTTTATTGATTTCAGAAAGAGGAATGGAGAGGGGGGAGAGAGAGAGAGAGAGAGAGAGAGAGAAACATCAATGATGAGAGAGTCTTTGATCGGCTGCCTCCTGCACGCCCTCGACTGGGGATCGAGCCCGCAACCCGGGCATGTGCCCTGACCAGGAATCGAACCGTGACCTCCTGGATCCTAAGTCGATGCTCAACCGCTGGCAGCCTGTTTACTTTTGACATGTAGGTCAAAACTTGCCGCATTTTAAAACAGAATAACTTGGCCTCTCCGCTTTCCCCCTTCGAAATGTGTGAACACTCAGCACACTTTCACCATGTACAGAACGGTCCTTTTTATTCTTCCCTGGAAATTCTTCTAAAGGTTGGAAGGAAAGGGCTAAAAACTATTCACAGGGCAAGTTTTTAAAACTGCACGTGTCCAAACAGCTGTGTTACTGCAAGAACCTTTATGACCTTGTGCACATTGAGACGTGATGCGTTAGGTTAGATACAAAAACGTGCCAGTTCAGCTGCGAATTACACAGAAAGGGCGACAGGGGTAAGGACCAGGCCCATGAGCCGTTCCATCCGGGCCTCCGGTTCGGGGCTCGGCCAACCTTCCTGGGAAGGTCAGACAGTAACTATTCCAGCTTTTCGGGCCACGCAGAGCCTCTGTCACGGATCCCTCTTGGGTTTTCTTCCCACAGCCCTTTAAAAAACCAAACACCATCTGCAGCTCATGAATGGCACCATCTGCACCACTCAAAAACAGGGCCCACGACCCAGTGGTCATAACGTGCTGACTGTGAACACCAGCAAGTGACTCATAAGCGTAAAAAGTAAATACCCACAGCAAGGCTGATGGGGGCAGACAGCGGACAGCGATCCGAAGACGCCAGTGAGCAAAGAAGCCGCAATCTACAAGCACCCCCCAATGCAGTGCATGCAAACTGTCGCCTGGAAGAATGTACGTAACAGCAGAACTTGGGGGGGAAATGAACACTGAATAATCAGAGAAAACTTAAATGTGATTTTTAGAAATTACCCAGTACTAACAAAGTGGCTATAAGCACATATTTTAGATAACCAGCTTTCCTTCAATAACTGTCAAGGAAATTATACGCATACACTCCCGTACAGGAAACTCTACCCAAGGTTCTTGGGAAATAAGCCCTGATTGCTACGTAGTTATTTCTGCCTCCAACAACCTGGTCAGTGATATTTTGAGGAGAAATGCATTTGTGATGATGCAGACACCTTCCCGCGGCCTCTGACACTCAACAGCTCGCCTGTCTAGCTCCACGCACCTCCTCGATGTGTGCTTTTCGCTCAGTGTGGGAGAGACGCTTGTGAATGGGCCAGGAAACATGCAGACTCAGCCGTCAGGGAGAAACCTGGGCAGATTAAAGCATCTGCAAGACTGTACCCGAAGTGGCTACGCATTTCTCTAGGGACGGCGGGGCGGAGGGGAACTGAAAAATGAAGCCCGGATAAGAAAGGAAGCCCGTCTAAAACCGAGTAAGAGGTGCAGTTGCTACAGCTCTGTCCTCAGCGTAAACACCTCGGTTCCGCCTGAAGACAGCCCAGGCCGTGGGAGCAGAGGTGAACCGCCTGGGGTCTGACACTTCTGAAGCTTGCATTTAGGATACGCGCCAGCATTTCTGGAAGAATACGACGCGCCGTGTTTCTCTCTTCCGTGCCCCCCCGCCCCCCA